ATGTGAAGGGTTTGCTTTGGCTTGGAGAGATAGTCTGCATTTTGAAATTTAGATAACCAACAAAATTCCAGAAGATAGGTGGAGTGCAATGGGTGGCTGGGTGAGTGTAATTTGCTTCCATTTACCCTCCCCATCTCTAGTCTCATGCCAGCTAATGGTGTAAATCAGTGGTTCCCAAACCTTGGGAAACCCAGGCGTTCTTGGAGTGCAACTCCCAGAAACACTGGCCAACACAGCTAATGGTGAAGGCTTCTGGAAAACACCTGGGTTACCCAACGTTGGGAACCTGTGGTGTAAATGACAAACAGGCACGGATCAAATCACAGGAGATTTCTTCTAGCACTACAGTAAGTCATCGGTGCTTCAGAAAGCAATAAAGGACAAAAAGCAGGTGGGGCACCTTTGTTGCCCCTGGGAATTCCATGCCCCCATCTGATGCTGTGGCTAAAAAAGCCCAAGTCAGATTGTGGACACATAGAGCATCAAACCAAATGTATCTGAACAATGGAAACATTTCAAGAATGCTGTTTATAACACCGACTTGTCCACATTTGGCAAGAAGACCAAAAAGATGGCAGACTGGTTCAAAGCCCATTCGGAGAAGCTGATGCCAGCCATCAAAGAAAAGAGGAGAGCTCTAGCAGCATACAAAGCCTGTCCTAGTGAGTACAACTTGCAGGCTTTTCGACTTGTTCGTAGCAAAGTCCAACAGGCTGCCAGGAGATGTTCTAACGATTATTGGCTTCAGCTCTCATCTCAGCGGACCTGTGTAGGGAATATAGGGAACAATGACAGCTACTCTTTGTGGCCTTCATAGATCTTACAAAGGCCTTTGAACTTTAAAATACTTCCCAAGATTGGATTCCACCTCAACTCCTTAACATCATCAGGTCCTTTCATGAGGAAACAAAGGGCACTGTAATTTTTGATGGCTCAACATTCAAAGCGCTGAATCTGTTTGAGATCTTTTTTGCTGCCATGCTGGGAAACACTTTTGGAGCTGCAACAGAAGGTGTCTAGCTCCGTACTAGATCAGATGGAAAGCTCTTTAATCTCTCCAGATTGAGAATGAAGACCAAAGTCCAGCTGAAATGCATGTGAGACTTCCTCTTCGCCAATGATGCAGCTGTTGTTGCCCACTCTGCTGAAGACCTCCAACAACTTTTGAATCCTTTTAGTAAGGCCTACTAAAATTTTGGACTAACATTCAGCCTGAAGAAAGCACAAGTCATGTGATGGGGCGTGAACTCACCTCCCTCTGTTACCATTTCTACACAAGAACTGGAGATTGTTCATGACTTTCTGTACCTTGGCTCAACGATCTCTGCCACTCTCTCTGTAGATGTTGAGCTGGATAAACACATTGGCAAAGCAGCTACCATGTTCTCTAGACTCACAAAGAGAGTAAGGCTTAATAAGAAGCTGACAGCAGCATATACCAAGATCCAGGTCTATAGAGCCTGTGTCCTGAGCACAGTCCTGTACTGCAGTGAGTCCTGAACCATTTGTGTACGGAAGGAGAAGAAACTGAACACGTTCCATATGTGCTATCTCTGATGGATTTTTGGTATCACCTGGCAGGACAAATACAGAAGTCCTAGAACGAGCTGGAATTTTTAGCATGTATACATTACTGAAACAGCAACATCTACGTTGGCTTGGGTATGTTGTGAGAATGGCTGATGGTCAGATTCCAAAAGATCTCCTGTACGGAGAATTAGTGAAGGGAAATCGCCCCAGAGGGAGACCACAGCTGCAATACAAGGATATCTGCAAGTGGGATCTGAAGGCGTTAGGAATGGACCTCAATAGATGGGAAACCCTGACATCTGAGCATTCAGCCTGGAGGCAGGCGGTGCATCGTGGCCTCTCCAAATTTAAAGAGACACTTGTCCAGCAGGCCGAGGCAAAGAGGCAGTCCCAAAACCAGTAAAATCAGGGATCTGGACAGGGGACAGACTGTATTTGTCTTTAGTGTGGAAGGGATTGTCGCCCTTGAATTGGCCTCCTCAGCCACTCTAGACGCTGTTCCAAGTCCTGCATACAGAGCACGTTACCATAATCTTTTGAGACTGAAGGATGCCTGTTACCCTGAACCACACAGAAGTATCTTAAAATGTTAAACTAATCACAGCTACCCCTGATAATCTCTGCTGGCTGGACAGCCCAGTGAGAAGGAACCAGAGAATTGGGAGTTCACTTCCCCACTGAGCTTTGTAGGAGACCAGTTTATGTAGCATGGGAATGTAGAATGGGAAATTCTCTGGATGCTAGGACTGAATTCTATGCTTGTAAAGTGCAAAAAGGATGTGGAGAATAAATGTATCTTTATGTCAAAGTAAGTAAATTAGAAGCTAGACAGATTTGGTCTTTTGCACTTTTGGATCAAAGCCTTGCCATCCACAAAATACATGCCTAAATTTAGTCAAATTCAAATACAGTACAAATCCAGTTGTATTTTAGGGCTGGGGAGGGGAACGCTTAATCTAACCTGATGAATCCTCAGTTCATGCCACACCTGACCCATCTCTGAAGATCCCTTCTATTTGGGGAAAGCAAATTGATAGTGGAGCTCACCCCCCTAGGTAAATTGCAGATCCTGCACATCATCCTCTAGAGTAGCTAGAGAAGCGACAGGTAAGCACCTTGACTAGGGAACCAGTAACATCATGGTTCCCACAAACTGGACATCCAACTTTTCAAAGGGCTATTATACATGGTAATGATAATCATTGTGCTGGCCTGGGAATTTTGTCTCCCAAATAACTGTTCTTGCTGTTCATGTAGCACCAGCTATTTTCATTCGGGCTATAGAACCTGTGACTCTTGAGATGTCCATGAAATTGTATTGGCCAGACTTGCTGGGGACGATAGGAACAGCAAGATCCGGAGGGCTACACATTTTCCAGACCTGACCCAATGAGGTAAGGCTCTCACCCATTCTGCAAAGGACAAATTGTTGCTGTCCAGATTTAAGGCACTGATCTTGTAACAGGCAAAATGTGTGCAGGGATTTACCAGCACTTTTTAATGCGGGCCATGGACTGTGAGTTAACATCAATGGAACTTTTGCTGGTGACTTACATTGAAGCATATCCTTGCAGATGTAGGTGGCTCATCAGATCAGAGACATTATATTCCAAGTTAGTATACACAGTCATTGTGAATCACTTGAACACACTGAATCAGTGTAAAAAATGGTGCTTTGTGATCCTACAGCTTGCATTGGGCTCCACGTTGTAGAAGCTGGTTTTACAGGACAAATAGGGTCAGCTAACAGTTACACTAATTTGGGCTGCAATGCTACTTTACAATTTCTTGGGAGTAAATCCTCTGGAATTTAATCAAGTGTGCTTCTCCCTATGCTGATTTATTTATTTATTTATTTGATTTATATCCCGCCCATCTGGTATATCTGGGCGGCTTGGGGCTGTGCTGTAGCCAGAGCTTGCAAAAGGTCGGTTTGAGATATCAGATCACTGAAATTCTTCAGCCAGCACTGCCAGTGGTTACACTGCCTGGCAAATTCTGGGTATCGTCTGCCCAAAAGTAACTTTTGCAAGGTCCGGCTGTAGTAGAGAGCTACCCGTGCAATTTCCTGACAAGCCTTTTGCTTGGCTTTGGCTGGGGCCAAACAGGCAGGTAGTAGCTTCACTGATTCGTTTCACCGGGTGCCCTGTTGCACCAGAGCGGGAAAGGTCCGGGGCCGCAGGAGATATGATTTTTTTTTGAAATAAAAAAAATGCAACCTTCCCCGGCCGCGTGTGTGGCACTGTGACCGTCTGGAACAAAGGCCAGCCTTGCAAAACAAAAGGGAGGGGTCTGGGCAAATAAGAAACATCTGGCCAGCCTCGTGTCTCGGCTGGCTGGCCGGCTGCTTACGGGCATCCTGCCTTCAGGGCCGCGGCTTCGCTCGCCGCCGGCGCTTCTGAAATAAAAAAAATGCAACCTTCCCCGGCCGCGTGTGTGGCACTGTGACCGTCTGGAACAAAGGCCAGCCTTGCAAAACAAAAGGGAGGGGTCTGGGCAAATAAGAAACATCTGGCCAGCCTCGTGTCTCGGCTGGCTGGCCGGCTGCTTACGGGCATCCTGCCTTCAGGGCCGCGGCTTCGCTCGCCGCCGGCGCTTCTGTGCGCCCGTGGGAGAAGGAGGGAGGGAGGGAGGGTCTCCAGCGGGGAGACCAGGAGGA